AACGATACGTGGTGTGTGTTGCTGTAACGTTTGTGTTTGTGTTTGTGTGTGGTTGTGGTGTGCGCGCGTAAAAACAACAAGTAAAATCAACACGTAGCCAACACGTAAAAACAACACGCAAAAACAACACGTAAAAACAACACGTGGAACCAACACGTAAAAACAACACGTGGTGTGCGTGCGTTCCTGTAGTGCTTCAAGTTGTGTTTGTGTCTTGTTGTGGTGTGGGTGTGCACGTAAAACCAAAACGTGAAAACAACACGTAAACACAATACGTGGTGTGTGTGTTGCTGTAATGGTTGTGTTTGTGTTTTTGTGTGTTGTTGTGGTGTGTGTACACGTAAAAAACAACACGGAACCAACACGTATAAACAACACATAAAAACACCAAGTGAAAACAACACGTAAACACAACAAATAAAAACAACATGTGAAAACCACACGTGACAAAAAAAAACCATACGTGATGTGTGTGTGGTGCTGTCGTGGGTGTGTTTGTCTTTGCGAATGGTGTTGTGGTGCGTGTACACGTACAACAACACGTAAAACCACAACGTAAAATCAACACGTAAAACCAACACGTGCAAAAAACACGTGGTGTGTGTGTGGTACTGTATTGTGTGTGTGTTTGTGTGTGCGTGTGTTGTTGTGGTGTGTACACGTAATAACAACACGTAAACACAACACGCAACAACAACACGTAAAAATAACACGTAACAACACCACGTAAAAACAGCACGTAAAACTAGTACGTGGTGTGTATGCGTGCGTTACTGTAGTGTTTGTGATTGTGTTTGTGTGTTGTTGTGGCGTGCGTATGCACGTACAATCAACACGTAAAGACAACACGTAAAAACAACACGTCAACGCAACACGTAAAAACAACACGTGGAAACAACACGTAAACAATGCGTGGTGTGATTGCGGTGCTGTAATGGCTGTGTTTGTGTTTGCGTGTGTTGTTGCGGTGTGCATGGACACTAGAAACAATACGTAAAACTAATACGTGCTAGTTTGTTGTTTTTTTATATGTGCGGGTTTTACGTGCTATCTTTGCGTGCTGTTTTACGTGTACACATGCCACAACAACACACACACAAACACAAACACTACAACACCACACGCACCACGTGCTGTTGTCACGTGTTGTTTGTTTGACGTGTTGGTTTTACGTGTTGTTTGTATGTGTTGTTGTTTCGTGTGCACACACCACAACAACACACAAACACAAACACTACAATAACGCACGCACACCAAATGTTGGTATTACGTGTTGTGTTTACGTGTTGTTATCACGTGGCTTTGCGTGTTGTTTTTACATGTTGTACCTGTGTGTGTGTGTGTGTGTCTCACCCCTCCTTCCTCCTCCTCCTCCTCCTCCTCCTCCTCCTCCTCCTCCTCCTCCTCCTCCTCCTCCTCCTCCTCCTCCTCCTCCTCCTCCTCCCCCTCCACAATTACTCAATATGAATACTACTCTCCCTCTTCCCCTGATGGCGTCCTGGGTGTAGTAGACCCCCCCCCCGCGTACTGTTTTTTACACACAGGATTCCCGGGAGTTGGGTTTTCGCCTGCGTTTTTTTTCAAAATGCTGCTCTCGCTGAGGCGCCGGCCTCATTTCTGCTCCCGAATCGTTCCGAATCGTGCTCCCGCTGCAGCGTGGGCCTCATTTTCGGATCGGTGTTTTGCCTCCGTCGTTCAGGATGGCGTTCTCGCCCCAGCGCGGGCCTCTTTCTCGCGCGCCCATCCGCCCGCCACCACCGCGCCGCACCACGCCCCGCCCCGCCGCACGCACACCCACCGCCACTTCCACCCACCAACGCACGCACGCACGCACGCGCACCACCACCGCGCACCGCCACCACCACCGCACTACCCCAGCCACCACCACCACGCTACACCGCGTCACACCACATCACACGCGCGCACACACAGACACACACGCACGCACGCACACACACACACACATGCACACGCACACACACGCGCACACACACAGACACACACACACACACCACCACCGCCACCACCACCACCGCCATCACGCACGTACGCACCTGGCCCACCACCAAACCACCAAGACGCCACACCACGCCACACCACAGCACACGCGCACACACGCACACACACACATACACACCACCACCACAACAACCACAACCACGCACACACGCACGCACGCACGCGCACCACCACCCACTACGCACACGCGCGCGGAGCCACAGGTCCGCTACGACACGCGTCCGCGGATAGAGAAAATCAGCGCCATGGTAAGGGATGGGAGGGAGGGGTAGGATGTCAGATGATGACGCGAGCGCACCTAACTTGTCCTCCTCCCCCTCCCCCTCCTCCTCCACCTCCACCTCCTCCTCCTCCTCCTGCTCCTCATCCCTCTCCTCTTCCTGCTCCTCCCCGTCCTCCTCCTCCTCCTCCTCCTCCTCCTCCCCTTCCTCCTCGTTTTTACGTGTTGTTTTTGTTTGTTGATTGTACGTGTTGGTTTTACGTGTTGTGTTTACATGTTGATGTTACGTGTTTATTTTACGTGTACACACACCACAACAACACACACAAACACAAACAACAACACTAAAATGCCACACGTCACGTGCTGTGTTTACGTGTTGTTTGCACGTGTTTTTCGTGTACACACATCACAACGACACACGCAAACACAAACACGAACACTACAACACCACACACACACACACCACGCGTTGTGTTTACGTGTTGTTTTTACGTGTTGTGTTTACGTGATGGTTTGACGTGTTGTTCTACGTGTTGTTCTACGTGTTGCTTTGACGTGTTGTTGTTGTTACGTGGTGTTTGTAGTGTACACATGCCACAACAACACACGCAACCACAACCACACACACTACTGCATCACACACACCACGTGGTGTTTTAACGTGCTGTGTTTACATGGCGGTGTCACGTGTTGGTTTACGTGTTGTTTTACGTGTTGACTTTTACTTGTTGGAATAACGTGTACACAAATCGCAACTACACACAAAAACAAAAACAAACACTACAATAACACACACACACAACGTGGTGATATTACGTGTTGTTGTTACGTGGTGTCTGTACGTGGTGTGTGTGTGTGTTGCGTGGTGGTTTAACATGGTGTGGTTACGTGTTGATTTGACGTGTTGTTTGTGCTTGTTGTTTTTTACGTGTACACATACCACAACAACACACGCAACCGCCAACACAAACACTACGACACCACGCACACACCACGTGTTGTTTTTGCGTGTTGTGGTTCCGTTTTGTTTTTTTTTACGGGTACACACACTACCATACCACACACAAACACAAACACAAACACTACAATAACCCACGCACCCTATGGTATGGCGTATTCTTTTTACGTGTTGTGTATACGTGTTGTTTTGACGTGTTGTCGTTACGTGTACACACACAAACATACACGCAAACACTACAACATCGCGCACACACACCACGTATTGTTTTACGTGTTATGTACACGTAGTGATTTACGTGTTGTTTTTACGTGTTGTTTTTTCGTGTCGTTTCTACGTGTACACATGCAACAACACACGCGAACACAAACACAAACACTACAACACCACACACACACACCACGTGTTGGTGTGTTATGTGTTGCTTTTACGTGCTATGCTACGTGGTTTGTACGTAGTGTTGTTACATGCTGTTTCCACATGTACACACGCCACAGCAACGCACGCAAACACAAACACGATCACTACACCACCACGCACACAAACACACCAAATGTTGCGTTTACGTGGTGTTGGTACGTGGTGTTTTCACGTGTATGTTTACGTAGCGTTTTAAGTGTGTACAAACCACGACAACACACAAACACTAACACAACCACTACACACACCACGTGTTGTTGTTACGTGTTGCTTGAACGTGTTGTGTTTACGTGTTGTTTGGTTTAAACTGCTGTTTGCACGTGGTGTTGTTACGTCTTGTTGTTTTACGTGTTGATTACGTGTTGTTTTTTACGAATCCACACACCACAGCGACACACGCAAACACAAACACAAACACTACAGCACCACTCACACACCACGTGCTGTTTTACGTATTGTTTTCCGTGCTGTTTTTACGTGTACGCATATCACAACAAAACACGCAGACACATCAAACACAAACACTACAATAACACACACACACCACGTATTGTTGTACGTGTTGTTGTTACGTGCTGCTGTTACGTGTTGTGTTTTACATGTTGTTGCACGTGCTGTTTTTACGTGTTGTTTTTACGTGTTGTTTGTGTGTGTCTCACTCCTCCCTCCTCCTACTCCTCCTCCTCCTCCTCCTCCTCCTCCTCCTCCTCCTCCTCCTCATCCTCCTCCTCCTCCTCCTCCTCCTCCTCCCCCTTCTCCTCCTGCTCTTCCCCCTCCTCCTGCTCCTCCTCCTCCTCCTCCTGCTCCTCCCCCTCCTTCTCCTCCCTCCCCTCCTCCTCCCCTCCTCTTCTCCTCCTCCTCCTCCTCCTCTCCTCCTCCTCCTCCTCCTCCTGCTCCTCCTCCCCCTCCTCCTCCTGCTCCTCCTCCTCCCTCCTCCTCTCCTCTCCCGCCTCCGCCTCTCCTGCTCCTCCGCCTCCGCCTCCTGCTCCTCCTCCTCCGCCTCCTCCTCCTCCTCCTCCTCCTCCTCCTCCTCCTCCTCCTCCTCCTCCTCCTCCTCCTCCTCATTTTTACGTGTTGGTTTTACGTGTTGCTTTTACGTGTTGCCTTTACGTGTTTTTTCTCACGCTTACGTGTTGTGTTTACGTGTTATTGTTACGTGTTGTGTGTTTATCACGTTTACGTGCTGTGTTTACGTGTTGTGTTCACGTGTTGTTTGTACGTGTTGTTTTTTTTGTACGCGCTGTTTGTTACACATTGTTTTTACGTGTTGTTGTTCTTCTCACGGTTAAACATTATTGAATAACCGTGCAAAATGTTCCTCGATGGTTCTTGCCGAGGAAAATACACACGTCCGAGCGATTCCAAGGTAGACGGTGGATCCTGGGGAATGCCGTCGCTGCCGCCCACGCGCATGACCACGTGCTTGCCGCCGTCGGCGGCAGACAGCGCGACCGACTTCACGCTCTTGCCACTCGAGTCGTCCAGGCTGACCTCAAACGAGAGGAGGGGCCTCCTTCTCATCATTATCTTCCTCCGGCTCCTCCCCCATCCCCAACTGCACCTCCTCCTCCTCCTCCTCCCTCCTCATTTCCTATAGTTCGCCTCTCCTCCCCACCTCCGCTGCTGACCCCGAAAAACGAGGAAATGAGGACGAGGAGGAGGATGAGGACTGGGACGATGAAGACGATGAAGAGCAACACTACGAGACTCGGGGGCGTCCAAGAAGAAGGGCGTCCAAGAGGGGAATCGCAAATCATGGCCATAATCACAGTCACCCCCCCCAATACAGTCGGGCCGCTGAAATTCGCCGGCCCAACGGGCCAGAGGCGTGCTAAGATCTCCAGCGACTGGTAAACAGTATTTCTAGTTCGCGCGCGCGGGGCGGCTCCTTGGGGTCCCCGGACGAAAAGTACCCCGGGCGGTGCGACCGAGAGAGGGTTGTTCGTTCTGGGCGCGGCTTTCAGGCGCCCGAGCGCGCTCCTAGAGGCCCCAAGAGTCCCAAAGACGGTCCAAGAAGGCTCTGAGTCGCCGACCGATCGGTCCAAGACGCCCAAGATAGCCTCCAGACAGCCGTAGACGTCCCCAAGCTGTTTAAAGAGGCCTCGAAGAAGCGTCTCAAGAGGACCCCAGGAAGCAACAATTATCGATTCCCCTTCGGTTGTTCAAAGGGTTTTGGCGTTCTCAGTTGTTCGGCTTCCCGACGCTCAAATACGGCCCAAGAGGCCCAAAATATAGCCCCAAGACGGCCAAAGAGGCGTCCAAGAGAGCCCCAAGAGGACCCAAAAGGGCCCCAAGACGGCCCAAGAGGCCTCCCAGACGGCCCAAGAGGCCTCCCAGACGGCCCAAGATATCCCCAGGACGGCCCCAAGAGCGGGCCCAGACGGGGGACCCGAACGGGCATTTCGAGCTCTAGGCGCAGAGAGGTCCCCTGGAAGCCCCAAGAGTCCCCAAGAAGCCCCCAAGAGGCCACCGAGAGGCCCCACAAGACCCCCAAGAGACCCCCAAGAGGCCCCCGTGACGCCCCAGGAGGTCCCAGAAATACCGCCAAGAGGCGCAACAAAAAGGCTCCAAGCGAGGAACAAAGCCCCTTGTAGGCCCCCGAACCGCCTTAGTTCAAGAGGAGGGCTGGAGGAACAACCATGGAAGGACCCAAGGAGCATCGAGCCCCTTCGGAACCCATACTGTTCCTTATTTGAGCGTCTAGACTGTAGTCAGCACAGCCCTCCTGGACGCCCCCCCAGACGAGCACGACGAGAAGGACGAGGAGGGCGTCCGTCGAGGCCGACCTGGTAGGCCCCCGGCGCGAGGCTCACGGCCGTGCCGGGCTTCAGCTGCGCCGACTCCTTGCCGCGGCCCTTGCCCTGCGCGATCTTCAGGGCGCCCTGCGCGCTGCCGTCGTACGCGTCGACGACCGCGAGCTGCGAGTTCTCCTCCGAAGGATAACGACACGGGGGGGGACTGGCTCACGGGGGGGAACATCGACCTGGAGTCGGCGATACGTCGCCGATGCTGCATCGGCGAGAGGCCGAAAGATCGCCCGATACGTCGGCGACCGTTCTTCTCGAGAGGCCCTGCGTATAGGACGGAGCCAACCGACCGAGACAGCATCGGACTGGGACAAATCAGGGACCTCTATGTATGCTGCATCTTTGGGGGACCTCGTCTGTCCCATCGCGCCAGCCATCCGTGTCGCATCCATGTCGAATCCATGTTGAACTCGTCGAATCGATGCCGAATCGGCGTCTAATCCGTGTCGAATCAACGTCGAATTCACGTCGAATCCGCGTCGAACCCACGTCGGAGTACAAGGTCCCTCGAAATGCCATATGGGATCTCTACGATCCTGCGGTTCTAGAGGATGCATCGGGCGCCGCGGTCGCTTCGAAGCGCTCTGGAACGCTCCGGAGCTGTTTTTAACCGTGCCTGGGGTCCGCCTGACAGTACTCCTCCTCTTCCTTTTCCTCCTCCTCCTCCTCCTTCTCCTCCTCCTCCTCCTCCCCTCCCCCTCCCTAGCTCCTCCCTTCCCCCTCCCTCAAGCGTCTTCTTCTTCTTTCCCCTTCTCTGAATTGCCCACTCTGCGATGGGCGGAGGTCGGGCTTCGATGATTCTGGGCGAGCTGGGGTCTCTTTTTGCCCTCCTCGTGTGCCCTCGACGCCGCGGCCGAATCCGTCTCAACGCCATCTTGCCAGGGCCGACCGAAGACAACGCCCGCGGAGGGGGGGAATGTGAACCTGGGCCTTGTCAGACCAGTCTACAATCAAACAGTCGTCATGTTGGTGGTATGGGTGGTGGTGGCTATGGTCAAACTTGTTTGAACTGGTCGAAGAATTCGTCGTGCTATTAGCGGTGGCAGTGATGCACACTGCCAAGGAAGCGCAGTACACGGGAGAGCCGCCTGTGTTGTTGGCATCAGCGAAGGTCTCGTCGCAGGAGTAGCACACGACGCCTTGGTATGGCCCGCTGGATGGGGAAACGATGACCGGCGCACCGTCGACTGCCCATTCGTTCACCTGGTTGCCTTAGAAAATGGGTGCTTCCTGCTTGACCATCACGGTCCCTCCCGAAACTGTATACAAATCACATCGTAAATGCTGGCGCTGGGAACAAGGTCGTTCTCGACGAAAGGGCTTTTCGGGCAACACACCGCTACACCAGTATCCGCCGATCGTTCTAGCGTGCCCTGAAACGAAAAAACCTGAACTCCATGTGGATTGAGTTTGGATTTCTTGAACCATTTGTGCCAAACGGTTCAAGAAATCCAAACTCAATCCACATAAACGTAGGCAGCTGTACGGAATCAGTGCAATTCAGCTCTGTCATCCATGTCCACACCCCAAACGCAACAAGATCCGCCAAGTTGATATATGAAACAGATACCGCAGATGGCACGCGATATATCACGGAGAGCACCAGAGACAATACAAACTGTTCAAAACAGACAATTCGGAGCATATATTTCCGCAGGGAAGCAACTTGACATATGATGTCGGTCTTCTGCTCCAAAGTCGCACCATCTCACACAATATCTACACAAACGACGTGCCTACGAAGCCAATCTGGTGGAGCGCATACCACCGCCGAGGAAGTGCTCCTGGCTTCAAGCTGCCAGGAGGCTAGGGTGTAATAGATCATAGGAAGGTCAGTGGTATCAAGCTCACAGGCCACAGGTGAATGCAGCACTGGTCATGGGCTCGTCTTGCGCGCCAGAGTTCAACGTAGAACCACCATTGCTCAAGCATACCACTTTGGCCTTCGTGACCGAGTGGGACCGCCAGTCCACGATCAAGCTGAACCCATGGGCACCACGTGTATGGCATTTGACTGCGCTGGTCGTAGCAATGTCGAGCTCGTTACCCATGGTGCCGTCCGCCAGGAACACCTGGCACGCAGCCTCGAGGCCTCCCACAGAGTTCAGCACACGATGGCGGCTTCGGCGTCGAGGCCGGTGATGCGAAATGGGTGCTGCTGACGCCACCTGTCTGCACCGGACCATTGCCCAGATCCTCCAGCTCGGTGGCGGTGACCCTCCACGGCGAGCAGCGAAACGCCATCGGGGGTACACTTTCATCGTCGCAGCGCGGCAAAGGCGATCCGCACGCGCGCTCTAGCAGCCGGGGGCGCACGGCATACTGATCAACCGTATCCATCGCGAGCACACGGCGAACCAGGGCGGCATCTTCGGACGTCCGAAATGGGTACGGAAAACATGGGTACAATGCCTAACAACAAATGTTGTCCCAAACCGGCAGCGGCCGAAGTTGGGCAGGCGGCCTCCTGTCTCAAACGGACAACCTCCGCGGCGGCGCGGACAGCGAATCCGGTCCAGAATGAGCCAAAAACTGCGGCGACGCGGACAGCGAATCGTTCCGTGCCTGCTTCGATCGTCCCGGTGACCAGCCGTGTCCGTGGCGAGCACAGGCCGGCCCCTCCAGGCCGGCGGAGAGCCGCCCGGCTCGCCCGGCCGCCTCCCTCCGGCAGGGCGCGCGGGGCGCGGCCCGCCCTCCCTGGGCCGGGCCGGGCCCCGCCCCCTCGGTCGGGGCGCGGCCCCGCGGGTCTGCGCCCCCGCATGCCCGCTGGCCCGTCCTGCGGCTGACCCATCGGTCGGAAGAGGCGGGTTGGAGCATGGAGCAGGAAGACGTCGGAAGCAGATTGGCCTTCCGCCCGCCCCCTAAAGGGGAGGGAAGAGGGAAGGCCGCTCGACTCCTGAAGTAGGGAGGCGCTAAAGTAGATGGGAATCTGGGAACCGAAAATGACCTACTTCCAACTACCAATGGGTAAGCCAAAAAGAGCGATGCACGGAACGGGGATGAAAAGAGGGGGGAGATGGGGGTGGAGGCGACGCCTTTGAGGCCGTTTGGCCACTGTCGTGGCCCGCAACATACCTCCCCAGGGTGGACCACCACCGTCTGGTCTGGGAGCTGACGCCCACAAGCACATGGCAGCGGAAAAAGGAGGAGGAGGAAGAGAAGGAGGAGCGGAAGGGCAAGGAGGAGCCCGAGGAGAGGCAGGAAGATGAGGAGGGAGGAAGAGGCGTTGGATCGGTGGTCGTCGAGAGGGCCCCTGGCTCTCCTGCGCGACCGAGAACGCGTGGGAGTAGAAAGTGGCCGCCATGGTGCTGTTGCCCTTGCGGTACGGGACCAGCAGCAGCGACGTGGGGGCGAAGGGGAGGTTGCCGACGTGGAACGTGCCCACGCTGAGCCCCCCCAACTTAAAGTCAATTCTTTCGCTATCCGCCAGCTCGAGGACGATTTCCTTGCACGCCTTGTACTGCAGGGGCTCCTCTTAGAGGACAAAACAGCCACATAAGCATAAGCTTTCGGAGCGCGCGGACTTCATGGATCGGCGCTGGGCCCTCCTCCCAACGACGGAAGCGCCGCCAAGGAGGCCCACCGCCGATCCTGGAAATCCGCGTGGAGCTCCGACAGTTTATGCTTGAGCATGCAGGTGTTTATATTCTTCGACCTCTGTGAGCTTCGCCTTCTGGTTGACGGTGTAGACGCTGAGGGGCTTGTTTTCCGCGTAGGCGTTGCAGACGGTCAGGTTGTGCTGTACGCCCACGTCCTGGACCTGCAGGGCGGCGCCGGCAGAGGCCAGGGCGAAGAGGACCAGGGAGCTGACGGCGGCCATCGCTGCGGAGGGCGTGGAGGTCTGTGAAGACTTCGGTGGGCAGAAGATACGTGCCTGGGCCACGGTGCTTTGAGCCGGTCTGGCTCGACACCAGCTCGCTGCTCGGGGTCCTGCTCAAAATGACGTGGTCGGCTTTGAACCGCTAACCTGAAGCCGTAGGGCTCGGCTCAGCTCTGTACTGCTTCTAGCAGCACGGTTCGGCAGATCTCTCGGGAGGGCACGCGTACTTCTGGGTCACGGCGCTCCTGGCTACGGCCGCCTCCCGACGCACCTCCCCTTCTTCCTCTTCCTCCTCCTAATTCGGCGGCGAGCGAGGGGGTTTGAACAATTTCCTGCGTCTTCGGGGAAGGATTGGAAATCCTCTCAGGAGGCTGGGAGATTTCTGAGAAGGCCCGACCCTTCTCACTCCCCCCCGGGGGCGCCACCGACTCATTTCGGGCGCACGATTACGCGGGCCATGGATCCGCAGATCTGGCGCCTGGGCGCCAGCTCCGCGTGGCCGCCCAATCCAGTCGGGTGTTGCTGCAAATACCCCTGGCCCAAGGTACCCCCAGGATTCTCGGGGGTGGCCCAGACGGCCTCCAGGGCACCCCTCACGAGGCCCAGAGGGCCCCAGGGGGCTCAAAAATAGAGCGAAAAGCCGGGGACACCTTGGGCCAAGGGCACTTCTAGCAACACCCGACAGAGCGGGTACCCCAGAGACACTGGGCCGGTGCCAGCTGCTCTGGCGACGGAGCGCAGCGATGCTGCTTGGAGGCGGGGCCCGTCGCCGACCCGCGTGCCTTCATCCGTGCGTGCGCTTCCTCGACGCGTACCTTCGCCCCCTGGGTCCTCCATATCATGCTGCTGCTGCCGCTCCTGCTCCTGCTCCTGCTCCTGCTCCTGCTCCTCCTCCTCCTCCTCCTCCTCCTCTCCTCCTCCTCCCCTCCTCCTCCTCCTCCTCCTCCTCCTCCTCCCCCCCCCTCCCCCATCCCCTCCCCCTCCCCCCCCCCCCCCTCCCCTCCTCCCTCCCTCCCTCCTCCTCCTCCTCCTCCTCCTCCTCCTCCCTCCTCCTCCTCCTCCCTCCTCCTCCTCCTCCTCCTCCTCCCGCAAGGGATGTTGCCCTGCCTGACCCTACACAGGCACACATCCACATCACAATCCGAAGCATCGAACTGGAGCTACCGCTGCTACTGCAGCTGCACACCGCTCAAGGTGAACCGGCGGGAGGGGGAGGGGAAAGAGAGAGAGAGAGAGCAAGAGGAGGGACAGGACAGATGCAGAGAGCATTGCCCAACCCAGCTCCTGCCGCTGCTGGTGAGGCATGTGCCAACAGCGGAGGAGGGACCACGTACTTCCCCGAACATCCCTCCATCCTTACTCCACCCTGGAATTCCACTGGGCATCCCCTCAACTCAGAAGCACTGCGGCTCCCTTCTCGCTCACCACAAGACTTCACTGCGGGAGCGGCAGGAGCACGCAATCTCTCTCGCACACTTGGGATATGCCAGCTCGGAGGTGGGGCGGGGGAGGATCCTCTCCTCCTCCTCCTCCTCCTCTCCTCCTCCTCCTCCTCCTCCTCCTCCTCCGGCCTCCTCCACTCCCAGTCCCCGCCGTCCAGCTATTCCTCCCCTTCCTGCTACGCATGAGTCTCTGCCTCCATTATTGTTTCCTCTTCCTCCTCCTTCCCTGTGGCTAGTATGTCTCCACCTTCCCTGCTGAATATCTTCCTCCTCCTCCTCCTCCTCCGCCCTCCTCCGTGCTCTCTGCTCCATGCCCTTTTCCTCCTGCTGCTTCCACGTCGCTCCAGCTCCCTCCTCTGCATTGCTGCTGGCTCCCTGATCAATCCTTGCTGGTACCTCCTCCTCCTCCTCCTCCTCATCCCCCTGTCCTCCTGACTCCCCGGACCAAATCCCTTCTTGTGCATCCGTCTCCCTCCTGCCTGCCGTCGTTGCATCAACCGTGTCCTCCCTCTCCTCCTCGTGATCATCCCCGTCTTTCTCATCTGACTCCTGCTCCTGTTGCTGCCCACGCTCCGCACCCTCCCACCTACCAACCTTGTCATGTCCAGCCTTCTCCTTCTCCGAATACTCTCCCACATTATTGTTTTCGTGCTCCTGTTCCCCCTCCTCCCGATGATTATGGGATCATTGATGGCACTAAGAGGATGCAACTTATTCCAAACAAATTCTTCCACCCCTTGGGGATCGGGGGGCCCCTCCCCCTACTCCACGTCGCAACACTTCCCCGCTAGCCCGTGGGCTGGATGTGGCTGGCAATCTGGCGCGGTGGTCGCCCCCGGTCAACCGAGGAGGTAAGAACGACTCACAACATGAAGACCCCTGTTGGACGGATGATCGGATTCGAAACCCTCGCTCAGCACTGAGCCACAACGGCTAGGGAACAAGATGTAATGGATATCGCAGGGACGGGTCGAAAAATACGGCGGACACGCCGCCAAATGCGAGAGGCAAAGAGTGCGAGGACTTCTGAGACTCACCACAAGCGGTTTGGGGATGGTTTTGGGCCCCCGTTGAGACTCTGTTGATGCAGTTGTCTGGCTCTCCTGTTGCGGTTGATCGCATGGGCGCATACACACAAACACAAACACAAACAGCCACACACACACAAACGCACTCACTCAAGAACACGCACACACACAAACACACACACACACGCTCGAGTAGCAAGGCCAACCTATGCCCTCACGTTTGGCGGCACAAGCGTTTTCCACAGGGGGCGACGGTGACTCGCCGAATGTCTCTTCGATAAACCCAAGCGCATTCGAGCGTGATATTTGAAGAGATGTTGTCGCGTGCTTGATAACATTCAAAATGGTTACCAGCGCGGACACCTAGCGTTACGATACACGATACTGCAATGTAATGTCAACTCTGTGGTGCAAGCTGTGTGGTGTAAATGATGCCCCGTGTGTGGCCATGCGGTGCAAGCTATGCAGTGTAAGCTATGTGGTGTAGACGTAAGCCATGCGATGCAATGCATGTGGTCACGGGAGGGCACTAGGCGAAACCTCGACTGACCCACCCAGCGCACGACGCGCCCACAAGTCGGCCACGGGTGGGCCTCCGGCGCGACCTCTGCTCACCCACACGGCGTACGAGGCGCCCACGAGGCGCCGTCAGGCGGGCGCCCGGCGAAACCTAGGCCAACCTACCCAGCACACGAGGCACCCACGAGTCGCCCAATGGCAGGTGCCAGGCAAAACCTCTGCTTACACACAGCGCACGAGGCGCCCACGAGGCGCCGTGAGGGGGAGAGGGGGCACCAAGCGAAACCTCGGTTGGCCCCCGCAATTCCGCAAGGAATATAAATGAAGATCCCTCAGAGCAAACACTGTTTGGGAAATTATGCAACGCTCAGTCGGTCCGTCACGGGAAGGAGGATGGGCGAGGGGAAGGGAGATAAAAAGCAAAAGGATGAGAATACTTCAAATGAGCACGATACTAACTAACGATGACGAGGAGGAGGACGATGAGAAGAGGTCGGGAGGGGGGATGGTGAATAAAGAGACGGACGATGATGATAAGGAGGCAGGTTGATTCTGACGTGGCGAAACATGCTCTACGCCATGAAATGGGCGCGCGAAAGAACGAGAGCAGCTTGCGGCATCGGAGCCTCTCTGGAGGCATGGTCTCCACGATACCCGTGAACCCAGCGATGTCCGAGAAGAAGAGTGTGACCTGCGGCACGTGAGCGGGAACATGAAGTATACGAAGGGAAAGGGCAGGGGAGGGGGTTTTTGGAGTTCTACAGGCGCTATACCCGAGGTGCAGCAGAACCCCTGACCACAACACTCCAGGGGGTTGCGCTCCTCGATGGGCCTCATTCCGTCGCAGCCTGAAGAGGTCAGCTTCAATGACTGCGGCAGACGGACTTCGGGTGACTGGGGTGCTTGCCCTGACGGATATTCGCCAGGCTCTCGTGCCCCTTCTCACAGGCATGCGCTCCCCAGGGAGCTGAGTCGGGTGGGGGAGGAATTTGTGCGAGGCGAGGGTCTATCCATAACCACCGCCTGGGTAACTCATCGGTCTCAGGGGAACTCGGCATGCGGCGGATATACTTGGCCGCCCCAGCTCCCGAAGATATCCAGAATTCACCGCATGCCGAGGTCCCGAAGATCGATCCTCCAGGCGGTGGTTATGTATAGTCCCCTGGCGAAGCCGACAGCAAAAGCGACGGCGACGGCGACGGCGAGAGCGGCGACGGCGACGACCGCGGCGGCGACATAACACCTTCGTGTTTTGGGTGAACTGTTGGAAAGGCCGCGCTCACTAACAACGCAATGCTGCAGCACACGCCGTGGGCTACTGGAGCGTTCGCGCTCGATATTAATCCAATGCTGGAGCGCACTCTTGTTTTCGGCATGGGATTTTGGAACGTCCCCGCTCAAAGAAATCCGGCGTTGGAGCGACGCCCTGTTTTTGTTCGTGAATGTGTGGGGGAGGGGGGCTTAATAGAAAAAAGGGAGAGGGGAGGGTCGAACGCGACGGCCGCGGGGTACTAGCGTGCACTGTACTCACGCCTCGTTCCCGAAGGCCTACGGGCGCAACGAGGATCAAAGCGCCAAGGTCGCCCCAGCGATATCCGGATACATCTACACCCACCTCCCATTTCCACCGACAGCAATATTTTGACGACAATGAAAAACATCGACGCCGATTTCGGTACGCGGCCGGGTTCCAGGCCTTCGTGCCTGGCCAGTTCACCAGGTCGCCGGGAGAAGAGGTAGAGGTAGAGTAGAGAAGTGTAGCACCTAGAATGGACAACAATGAAAAGGCTGGAGACGAGATTCGAGGGTAGAGCGTGGAACGTAGAAGGTGGACGATAGAGTTATTCCGCTCGTGGAAAATGCGAGCGCAAAACATGCAGTAGAGAGTGCAGGCGGAGGGAATTAGATTCGCCTCCTTTTGCTCTCGTCCGTTTCCGACACGCTGCCTCTCGACATGTCTCGCGCGAACAACTGAGTGGGGACTTATCCGGCGTAATTGAATGCCATGTCA